ATCTAAGGTGCTGGCGATGACGGCACTATGGTGGCCATTATGTTGGAAACAATACGAGTAAGTTAAAATCTAAAACTAACTTCCGTAATTATATAAATATGTTATATGTCTCTTAGATAAAAACTGCTCTTTTTTATTATGTGCCCACAGGTTTTGTCGAAATCGGATAAACCGCTGCGCAATCCTGTTGTTTTTCTCTTCAATGGCGCCGAAGAGAATCCATTGCAGGCCTCACACGCTTTCATAACACAACACAAATGGGCCAAATACATCAAGTAAAAAAATTTACTCAAAGTTTAAAAATTTATTCAATAATTGCTTATTGAAATTTGCTCGCATAATTCTAAAATATCCAATCAATAATTCACTGCAAGTGTGCACCTCTTTTTCACCTCCTTTCAACAATTCATTAACATATTAATTACTTTTTGAAATGTTCAATMTGCAGAGCTTTAATAAATTTGGACTCAGCTGGCAACGGTGGACGCGAAATTCTTTTCCAATCAGGCCCTAATCACCCTTGGTTGATGAAGGTTAGTAGTGGGAGGAGAAGTGACGGTGAAAAAATATCGCATGCTCATTAAAGCTTTACCTATTATGCACGAGCGCTAGCACTGTTGCCTTTTAATATTGATTTGAGTGTTTCTATTAATTTAAACAGCATTATCGACGCGCCATTATGCATCCTTATGCGTCGACAGTGGCGGAAGAAATGTTCCAACGCCAGTTTATACCATCGGATACGGATTTTAGAATTTTCCGCGATCATGGACGTATAGTGGGTATGTATAAAAATAATTTAATATAATATATCCATACTGGAAATTATCAACACCTGACCTAAACACCCATACCAAAAAAATAAACCAATATCATGACCACATGATGACGAAGTACTGTTATTAGTAACTTAAAAAAATAACTAAAAAAATATCATTAACAATATCAGTACCAGTACTAACACCAATGCAAATACAAATACTAATAATAATACAAATACTAATACTAATACCAATACCAATACCAATACCAATACCAATACCAATACCAATACCAATACAAATACCAATACAAATACCAATACCAATGCCAGTAAAAGTACCAATGCCGATACCAAAACCAATACCAATATCGACTCCCAATACTGATACCAATACCAATACCAATACTAATACCAATACCAATATCAACACTAATACCAATACCAATGCCAGTAAAAGTACCAATGCCGATACTAAAATCAATACCAATAATAATATCAATACCAATATCAATTCCCAATACTGATACCAATACCAACACCAATATCAATACTAATACCAATACCAATACCAATACCAATACNAATACCAATACCAATACCAATACCAATACAAATACCAATACCAATACTAATACCAATACCAATGCCAGTAAAAGTACCAATGCCGATACCAAAACCAATACCAATAATAATATCAATACCAATACCAATACTAATACCAATACCAATACCAATACCAATACCAATACCAATACCAATACCAATACCAATACAAATACCAATACAAATACCAATACCAATACTAATACCAATACCAATGCCAGTAAAAGTACCAATGCCGATACCAAAACCAATACCAATACTATTACCAATATTTATGTACATGAATCATGGAATTCAAACGAATTGAAATCCATCAAATAAAGTATTAAATGCATGCTACTTTAAGCTATTATTTTTAATTCAATTACTCATAAACTATTTGTAATTAATTGTATGTCTCTATACGTTATTGAATATCTGAATCTCTTATCTACCATTAGGCTTGGATATGGCACATCAATATAACGGATATGTCTATCACACACGCTACGATGTGGCGGAGATTGTACCGCGTGGCACCTTCCAAAATACCGGTGATAATGTACTCGCGTTGGTGCGAGAGCTGGCTAATGCGCCTGAGTTGGAGGATCCATCAGTAAGTAGTAAATTCCCCACATGCTTAATAGTCACATAATATAGAATAATTGTACAACTCTTAAAATGTTTACTTTAGCACGACGCTGAGGGTCACACGGTCTTCTTCGATGTGCTCGGCCGTTACTTAGTCTTCTAYACTCAAACCGAGGGCGTCATTTTAAATGTATTCGTGTCCATAGTCGCGATMAGTTTATGCACCTACTCATTCAAACAAATGTCAAATATTACGGGTACAAAACTCGGTAGCATATTAAATCGTGGGCTCACTTTACTCGGCGTGCAAGTACTCGCTGTGATCAGCGGTATAGCGCTCTGTTTCTTGATCGCTGTTTTTATGGATCTGGTACATATGCCSATGGCTTGGTTCACTAACTCTTGGCTCATTTTGGGTTTATACTTCTGTCCGCTGTTCTTCGGTTTCGCCATTGTGCCAGCGTTATATTTCCATTCGCAACGCAAGGTAAAGATTGTCCTCTCATCAGTATGTATAAAATATATAACATATTTGTTCATTTGTTTTTTTTTTTTTTTCAAAGGAGCGCTTCCCGCTTGGTTACCGTGTGCAAATATTGCTGCATTGCCACTGTCTCTTCCTGACTTTCGTTATATTGATCGCCTCTATTGCCGGCATACGTTCCGCTTTTATGCTTATGATTGCTGTGTTGTTCTACGCAATCGGTTTGATCATCAATTTGTGCACCAAATTGCATAACAAATGTATGTAAACATGTAATTGATAATGATTACACTTTTAGTTACTGGTAAATATTTTTTCCACAGCACTACCTTGGCTAATACCGCATATACTCTGTAATATTCCACCATTTCTGTTCTACGCCTACCAAGCGCATGGTTTCTTTGTCGCCTTCATTCCAATGACCGGCCGCTTTGGCTCCAGTGTGAATCCCGATTTGATCATATGCGCCTTTGCAGTGAGTATGGGTTTACTSACCGGCGGTTTCATGGTAAATAACTCAGTCTGCTTTTACTGGCTCTCAAAGAATAATATATTATCCATTTCATTCCTTAGATTCCGGTACTAAATCTGTTCCAAAAGTCCAAAACTATAATTTGCTCACTACTCACATTTACTGTGCTCTTCATAATACTCGCAGCGACACCTATCGGTTTCCCATACCGTCCAGAGACTAATATACAACGGTTCTCCGTATTGGTAAGTCGACTAAAATCAATAATTTGCGTTCTATAAACTAATGTTTGTAAATTTTTACTCAGCACACGCGTCGTGTTTTCCACGATCAAACGAACGCTGTACGTCGCGTAGAGACCGGCTACTTCATTTTACCGCAAGATCGACGCACTTATTCCGTTAAGGGTATGTTTTTTTATAAATTTTAATTAATTATCGAAAATAATCTCAAATTATCTTCCCCGCCAGATCACTTACTCAACATATCCTTGGCACAAACACTCGACAAAGAWTGCGCTGAGGAGATGCTGTGCGGTCTACCGCTCTACAACCACCGCTGGCATAAAGCGCGGTATGTGATCACATGTTAACACTCTAATAATAATAAGAGCTATTTCTTTTTTCCAACAGCGCCTCAAGCRTTTGGATACCGGGGCCAGATCCCAAGTTTGACCACGAGCCACAATTGAATTTGATCTCAAAGGATCAATTGAGTAAAACTTCTATACGCTATGTATTGGAGTTAACTGGTCCCGATCATATGGGTATCTTTATAAAKCCCTTGAAAGATCGCAAGATTAACGCTTGGTCATTCCATTATACACCTTTACGTTTAGAATGGGAACCACCATACTTCATTTATTTCTCATATGGCAAGGACAGTAGTCCATTTAAATTCACACTCGAATTTGAGGTRAGTATTTATCGTGGAGAATTTCTATATTTTAAAGGTTATACCATGTTATATAACTTGCATTAACTAAATACTTTTCGAAATCACCTACTAAGATCATATGATCAAACCGAATTTTAAATCATATGACGAAACAGCAAATGATGTGTTATCATATGATCAYACCAATTCAGAAATATCAAATGATATTTGCCCAAATTAATAAATATGTGAAAACATCGCGTGATGTTATATCAAATGATCGCATGAATTGCTAATTACCATAAGATAAGGTCTTTTAATTACTTGAAGGAAACTATGCTATACTATACTATACGATACTATTACCATATAAATAAACACATTAATTATAAATAAATAACTAATTTAATTAAAAATAAATTATTTAAAAATAATTATCTCTTTCAGAATCCTAAGGAGGACTGGAGTTCACCAATATTTGAAATTGGCATCGCTGGCCACTGGAATCATGATGAGAGCGCACACACGCCAGAGTTCCAGAAATTCCTGCAAAGCTTCCCCAAATATGTGGATGCGATAGCATGGCCAGCATACTATGAGACACGACTGTTCTAAGTTCAAGTCATAATTTTAAAGTTCAAACGCCTTATTGACTTAAGAAAAAGTGTTTAGCGGGATATCTAAAAGTATTTCTATAATTTATTGCTACCCTGTGAATTTGTAGAATTAAAAAAAAATAATAATAATAAATAATTTTTTTTTATGAACCAGTGAAATTTTTAAAATGTAATTGTTTTTTAGTTAATAACAAACTAARTGGCGGTTGAATAAAAATTTCAAGTAATTTCTAGGCTAGTAAACTATAATAAAGAGTAATCAACAAAAAACATCAGAACTATTTTATTTGAGTAATTTTGTGGATTCGGTACAGCAATTCAAATTGCTTTTGAATTGGTAAAATGCTTACAATGCCTGATCATCAACGAATACCCTCCATCCACATATCTCTCGTTGAATATTTTGTTAGGATAACTACGGTATATTTAAATCATCTCTGTAACAGAACTTCTGAATGTGAGTATAAAAATATACTTTCTTTTATGAGAGGAGTGCTACATTGTGATAAGGCCTAACCTCAGATATCAGATACCGAATCCAAAATCATATATTTTACTTATCCGAAATATAGACATTAAGATCAGCTTAATTGAACAAYACATAAGTTATAAAGTCAAGCGGGTGTTTAGAAATCAATATATTAGGAATTTCTCTTATTTCTTGAATTTTAGGTAAGAGGATACAATATTACTCGTAAAAGATTRTATTGAAATATAGATGGATRTAAAGATAWGATATAAGRGAAGAATTTACCCGTTTTACACATTTGGCAGTCGATTTTATTTACATTTTGCGTGGAATTACCCCTTTGTTTATATTTTCAGACCTTTAACCCTTTTGTTTGCATTTAGTCAAATSCACAAGATTTATATACTTTTAGCCAAGTCAACAACCTTTGCTTACATTTGGGGTCATTGACCCTTTTGTTTACATTTATCCAAGTCAATATCCATTACTATAAATATTATATGTATTATATAAGGTCAAGATGATCAAAACTATWATGCTATCTGTAAACTTGTGAAAAAGTTAGATATACTGATGACACAAGGGATGTCGGTATTAAGGATGAGCGTGAAGTTATTGCAATAAGGCTTGGCACAAAAAATGCTCTCAAGCTATTCAACTAACGCCCAAAGTTATTGAAATCGAAATATAACTTTTCAAGGACGCAGTCACCAAATATATATGAGACCAGTCAATCAGTGAGGTCTAGTAKTAAAATCCGGAGAGGATATTTTCTTGATGACAAAAAAATTGTTCGGATTTCTCATCATCATATTGAAGTTTTCCTYATATACTATTTATCTTATCACCTTGCGAGAGTATAAAAATTAAAAGWTASCCCTTCGTTACTTGTTGATCTTTTCTCCATAAGACGCTGGCTATTTATCGAGTTGGTCAATATCGGACCACGATAACTTTTAGCTATGTATGGAAAACTATTTTATTTGATAAGATCTCTATGGAATTTAACATAGATTATTACCAATGTTCTGCTATAATCTCCAAATATATAGTTYAGATAGGACTACTATAGAATAATGCTGCCATAAAACCGCACCCATAAAAATCAAATTATTGTAAGGAATATTTTTTATTTATGAAGAGTATTATAGTATCGATACAACCGATGAGTAAATATTCACAATACGTGACAAAATACCAATGTACCAAATAAAGGGTGATCCTTTTCGAGGTTTCCCACTTTTTTTAAGAAAAAACACAGGAACTTTAAACTTAATGGGGAATGTTTATCATCGTTCGAAAGAACATTCTTTGGCATTTATGTTTTGAAAAATATCTTTTTCAAATGCTAGCCGCGGTTAAGTCTCGAAGGTCCATCCGTTGAGTTCAATTTCCGATGACTGGTTCACGTTTGTCGACTGGTAACTGGTGAATAACACGCGTAATGTTTAGCTMMAAGGCCTGAATCGAATCTGGATTGTCCGCATTGACTTTAATTTTTAATTTTTTAACGGTGTGACAGGATAATGATGGCCAATTGACCGACTCAAAACGTAAAATTATCTGATCACCGAATTTTCCTTGTAAATAATAAAAATCGTTCAAATTCACCTGAGATTACTGGAGCCTATAAAAACCTTTAATAATAACCATAAATAATTACACGAGTACCACGATTATTTTAAGCATTATAATACCTTAACAACAGCTGACATGGGCCTATCAGCTTGCGCCAACTGTCGGTTTTGCGGCAGGGACCCTGAAACCCCGGAGCACCTGTTAATCGACTGCACTGCAGTCTGTAGGTGCAGGTCGAAGGCCCTAGGAGCCATGTTTCTGGACAAGGATCACATCGCCTCGCTAGCACCCAGCAGAATACTGGACTTCATCAATATGCTGGGGCTAAGCGAGTCCCTGTGAGTTAGGAGAGGACACAATAGACCTAAGGTAGCAGTGCATTCCTCAATTATTTATCTATATATCTAATATCTTTACTCCCAATGGAGTTTATGCACTGTTACTGATTATAGTCCGGTTAATGCAATCTTCAGCTTATCTAAAACATCGAAAGAAGTGGGGTAACTAAACCGTGTATTTCACACTCAGCAAATATCAGTAGCTAAGAGAGAGGCATGTGCTATGGTAGTCAGCAAAAGAACATAATGTGTATATAAATAATTCTTCAATTAATAAATTTTATTAAAAAAAATAAACTAAACAGAAATAACTAAAATTCGTCTGTGTGAAATTACAAAGTATAAAAATGTGTGGTTAAAAATAAGGAATTTAACAAAAAAAGAAAGAAAAATTATCTATCRGAGATATTGTGAGCAAATTGTGTATATGTATGTAATTTAAAATCCGCGGAAATTAATAATATTACTATTTTAGTGAAATAAAATTTTAGTTAAATATAAATATTTAAGCTTTTTTACTTAAAAAAACGTCATTCACAAAATCTTCGTACTTACCTTATTCAACTTGGTAGTATATGCAGATTATCTACTACTATAAATCATTTAATGGTGCAATTACCCGAATTATGAGCTAATTGAACTTTAATATTATTAGCACTTAAGTTTTGCTTATCAGTTCGGAGTTATTTGAAGTGTTCAACGGAACAGAGGTATATTTTTATGTTCATATGGATCTCATATAATATTTTATTAATGGAAGAGAAAGAGATAAATTAAGAGAGACAGGGAGATAAGAAAAGCGCAAGAGTTTTGTCTGACATTTAAAGAGAGTCAGATGGTTATTATTTATGACATTTTTGCCGGTAATTATTATGAAGAGCTATTCATTTTYGTTTGTCACTTTCAATCATATTTATAACACCCAGTAGTAAAGCTACTTTATTAGCGAAAACCGTAGCTTTATCTACTAAGAATTTTCAATAAACTTTATTAAAACTGTTACATCAAATTTAAATAAGAAATATGATTTCTTTAAAGTATGTAATAACTAATATTTTGTATGTATATTCCATAAGTTATGTTGGACCATTCTTACTGAATGTCTTCTGATAGTTCCAGTCTAGTCAAGTCACAGTAAGCCAAGGTTTCCAACCAATGACAAATTCAAAACTCTCTAACAAAAATTCGAAGCGTAGCTGTGTTTGTCTTACATAATAAGGGCGTAATATATGAGTAACTAACAAAACTACAAAGCTAACTTTTATTTGGATAATTACTCCTCAAAAATAATAATAAARTTTTGTTCTAATAATTAATTTCTTCCGATTTTTTCTCTTCCTCTAACTTTTTGCGGGTTAAGTTTCACGAAGGTCCTTCAAAATCAGCTGYTATTCCGGAAACTATTGATGCTATGCGTAAAGTGATATTGCAAGATAGGCATGTAAACTATTGTGAAATTGTGATAAYTATGAGTTTTGGTGGGACTAGCATATGTTCAATAATGGTTGAAAATAAAACTGTTTTGTTGGATCCCACACAATTTGTCAATCRTCCAAAAAAAGGCTCGTGCCAATTGGTCGAGAGAAATGTTAACCGAATTCGAAAGCGGTGCTTCAAATCACACCTATGACAACGTGGCAAGTAATGAGTCGTGAATTTATGTGTATAGTATTAGCCCGAGAGTCATTTACTATAGTGGCCATATAAAGGAGCGCAAGTTTGGTGTGGGATTCGTGGTGGGAGAGAGACTCCGTCGCCGAGTACTATTATTTGACACTCACCACCTCTTCGTCGATTTCAA